TGTTCTTCTGGCGAAAAGCGGAGACGTCCTATTGATTCGCAAATGAAATCGCTTACATGAACACTAAGATCCTGTGATTTTTGCTGAATTTGATTTTCACCAGCAGGACCCCAAGTAGTAACAATACCATCATTAGCATAGAAAACAGACTTATCATGAGTCACTGGAACAATTTCAGGAACGTTTGGTGAAAGTATTGGTGGGATAATTTGATCTATGTCCTCATCCGCATAGACTGAGAACTGAGACCGTAGACTAGTCATTTGTTCTAAAAAGTGTTTCTGATAGGCCACCACATCATCTCGCTCATGCCCATCAAAAAAGATACTTTTTGAGTGGTCTTTGTAATCCCAGTCGAGATAACGCAGCCATGTCCGAGCCGTTTCCCTACAAATAGTTTTTTTCTCTTCGATCCCAAAAGCTGGAATAGCTTCTTCCTCCACAAACTTTGTGAATTGATGGATGGTTATTTTAAACTTATTAGCCTGTAAATACTCCGTAATATTCAACTTGAGGTCTTCATGTAGCAAGAGTGACCGAATTTTTGCATGATTACCACGACGTGATATAAAAAGTTGGCCATTGCATAACCATTGATTTGCCCACGAACGGATAACACACGCATGCCACGGATCCTTATTAACACTTAAAGCAAGAAGCTTGCTAGCTTTCAGTTTGGAAAATCCTCGGTCTTTAACCAAGTGAAGAAATTGGCTCACCATATAAAGTCGTGTATCATCCAGCTTTCTCTTTAACAGCGCGTCAAGCGATTCCAAAGTAAACTCACTATTGTTGTTTTCGAAGTTAACTACCTCATCGTAAGAGAGCTCATCATTGGTATCATTGCGGATTGTTGAAATTTGAGTTGTCGGTGTTGCTGGGAACCAATTTGTAATTTTGCTGATATCTGATACTACCTTTTTTCAAGCTGCTCTCTTGTTCCGCAAGGTTGATTCAGCAAAGCCAGTATAAGTAGATTTTCATCCTTTTGTATCTGGTTGTTTTGCTTTAAAGAGTTTTTCAAACCAATCTGGCTTTAATTGTTCAAATTCTTCTACAAATTGGTTATTGTCCAAAGGTTCGTTTTCGTCGCTGGTTCATAAAGCATCGAAGTTATTTTCACTGCTGGCCCATAAAGCATCGAAGTCATTTTTGCCACTGGCTCATAAAGTATCAGAGGGTCTTTCATTACGTTTAATATTATCCCAGCGCTTCTTAACAGCCGAGATACAGTGCCGAGCACGTTTACTTCTTTTTGGCATTAATATCGATTATTTGCAATGAAAAAAGATTTTAACAAAAGCATACAGGGTTTGAATCACCCACCACTAGTAATGCCCAATGAATAAGCGGACCATGGTACATAAATATGACACAGAAAAGAAAAAATGCAAGGCTAAAAGTTATGCACAAAAGCAAAGAACAGGGAGGCGCAATATGCATGCTTTCACATGATAATAATGGGAGCCACATATATTGTAAAACGTTTAATAAATCAATTTATTTTTAGAATTTACATGATTATATATTGTATGCAATACTATTAGTGGCATTGTATTGTATGCTATATTATATTGCATACCGAAATTTCAGCGGTGGCGCAGCATTTGATGCGACTAAGCTGGACGCACCATATCTTATATTAATTTGTAGCTCTTATTTCTGACTACAACTTTATTTATAATTATAGTTTATAATTATTATAGCAAAATAAATGTTTATTATACTAAAACTAAAGCAAATTAAAATTTTAATAATTAAAATTATTTTTTAAATTCATATAACTTCTTAAATATTGATTCTAAAATTAATTATTTTATATCAATTTGTAGCTTATGTTATGATTTACAACTTTACTTAGAATATCAACAAATATTTACTTGAACTCGAACTAAACTTTTTGTCAAGTTCGAGTCTGATTCAAAATTTAAACTGAACTCGAACCAGACTTTTAATTAGATTCAAATTTTTAAATCAGACTTTTAATTAGGTTTGAGTTTAATTAAGCTTGAACTAAACCAGACTCAAACTGAACTAGATTTTTTTCAGAACTCTAGTAGTGTCAGAAGGAATAAAGTAAAAGTAATAATAATATTCAGTATTTATTTTTAGAAGAAATTGTCTTTCTTGTTTAAATTTATGAGTGTGAAAGTGATTTTAGTTGATTATCCAATAAAAGTATAAAGAATATTTATATAATAATAAAATAAAATAAATTAAGTAAAATAATGTAAAAGTAAGGAAGAAATGTAATCTATAGAGGAAGTACAAAAATGTTTTCATTAATTAAAAATTGTTAAAATTAATGAATTAACAAAGTAATATAATAGTAAAAGAACAAAGACTAAATAAATTACAATTAATAGAGTTTATTAAAGATTTTAAAGATCTTTTGTAATAACTTGTATACAAACTAATTATTATTAATAAAGAATAAAAATAAATAGAAAAATAAAGTAAAAAGATAAAAAAAATTAAAGAAATTAACAAATAGTTTCAAAATAAATAACAGAACTTATTAATGATATCTAATAAAATAAAATAACAATTGAACTTATTGAAACTGTCAATTATGAAATATAACTAAAAATAATTAAATAGGACTTATTGAGACTGCCTAAAAATAATAAAATTAAAATAATTAAAAGTAATAATATCAATGATTTATTTAGAGTGAAAAAGTATTCACTACTTGTAATTTCAAGATTTGAAAGTAATTCATGAAAATAATAATATATATACAAATAAAATATTATTAGTAAGAACTTTTTCATTTATTAAATAAAAGGATTAGAGCATTAGAGTTTCTAGCAAAAAAAACTTATCTTTTATATATTTTCAATCTTTTATATAATTTATATAACTAATAACTATTTTAAACTATATTACAATTTACATATAATATTAATAATACAAAAGGAGTATAAATATCAAAAAATAAATAAGAAATTATACAAATTTATTAACAAGAAAATACAAAAGAAAATTAGTTGTAATTTTAGTGATTAAAAATAAGAAAAAGCAAGAGTTTGAATAAAAGAAGTATTGTATAAAAAGAAAATAATAGTACAAACATAATAATAAATAATTATAACAAAGAAATTAGAAAATAAAAAGAATAATTATAACAAAAGTGAAAAATAAAATAAAATAAATATATAAATGATTGGTTAAAAATAATAAAATAAAAAGATAAAAATAAGTATAATAGAGGTATAGATAAGATAAACCAATAATAAAAATATAATTTTATAGTGAAAAATACAAAAATAAATGAATTTAGTGCAATAGTAAAAGAAAATAAAACAAAAAATGTACAAAAATGTAATTATTGTTTAGGTATTATGATTTAGATATCAAAAAAATAATGATATATACTAAATATAATTATCTAAAAGACAAATTAATTTGATCATCATTGAGTTACATAATGTTATATTAATATTTTTTTGTAATATATCTTAATTTTTGTTGATTAATAATTAAGTAATTATGAATTTTTTGTAAAAATGATAACAGTATTATTATAGAATAATTCGTTCTTCATTATCTTGTTCTGATTCTTGATTGATAGTTTTGTTATTAATCTCTGAGTTCTTATAATTTACAATTATTGAGTTAATTTTTACAGAGGGATGACACCAAAATATTACATATTAATGACTAATTATAGGAATTAGTTGCTAATCTGTAACTTGCGTGGAAGGAACAGATTAAACTAAAATTATTTTATTTATTAGTTTTTCAAGATTCTGTACCAATATTTTCAGATATTGTTGTGTTCAATTATTAGTTGATTTTGTTTATGTATTTTACAAATGTTAACATTGCATTTACTTTTTCTGGACCAAAAGTATAAACCCTTAAATCAAAGTCATTAAAACAATTATCTCACTTTTCTGAATCAAAGTGACAAATTCTTCAAATCGTATTCATCTCACTTTTTTTGGATCAAAGTGACAAACCTCTTTTTGTAACAATGAATTTAATTATTGGGATGGAGAATGAAAGAGCACATAAGAACTAATTGTATACAAGTAAGTAATTATATGTTAAAGTTTTTTATTGCTTTATTGTCAATTCTTTGCCTATTCTCTAATTGCTCTTTCTTACTCTTATTATATATATTTTTGGTTTTCTATTTACAATATAAATTATGATGTAATTTACGATGTAAATTACAGTGGAATTTATGATGTAATTTATAGTAGAATTTACAGTGAAATTTACAGTGAAATTTACAGTGAAATTTATAGTAGAATTTATAGTGTAATTTGAAGTGTAATTGGCAATGTAATTTGCAGTGTAATTTGCAGTATAATTTGCGGTGTAATTTGTGGTGTAATTTGCGATGTAATTTGCAGTGTAATTTTAATTGATTGACACAAATAAAGAAACAAAAAAAAACAATGCATTTCTAAAAGGAGACTGTGTTACCAGTGTAACAATATACAAAATTTTGTGAATAGCAACTTTGCAAAGCAATATCTTCAAACAAAATTTGATAAAAATATATCATTCAATCAGCCAAGACCAGATGAATCAGATGACATATCTTTATCAGAGTTTGTCAGTAGTTGCGGATATATTACTCTGTAAAGTTGTCATTCACAAAATCGGCTGTTGATTTCATTTTGGCTTAACTTTGGATCGACATTTGCATTACAGGTCAAGCTATGGACGTATGTCATGTACATGCATAGTTTTACAATGCATAGATCATCTGATTTGTGAATTATATCAAATGGTCGTTATATCGAGAGTTGATCGTACATTGTATAAGGTGAATTACTTTCCGATAATGTACCAATACCGGATACCTCAATCAAAATTATGTAACACAAACTACTTATGCACATCGTCACAAAGAAACGATCTACATGTATTTACATGTTTCCATATTTTTTCCTACTAAAAACATTTACGAAAACAAAGTTTATTTCTGAGAATAATACGTACGTATCAATATCGATATATAATATTACAATAACAAAAATCAAATGTCTTGTGAACCACTACCACCAAATGTACAACTACATGTACTTCGTCCCCTCTCACCGTTAGAACGATACTACACAATCCGCCAGGAACTAAACTACTACAAAAACATCATCTCCTACGTACGCTACACCCACACAAAACTGTCATTGATTCCATTCGCAAATGTGAGGTCAGAAGTAACGCCAATACTCTATAGAGCACTGAGATCTTTGATTTTGACACATCCAGCGCTTTCGGCTGCATTCTTTTGTATAAAATCTAATTCGCCGAGTTTTGTGCATATTCCTGTGATAGATTTATCGTCGATTATCACTTTTGTGATCATTAATGACAGTAACAATAACGATAACAATGATAATAATGAGGTTGGAGTACAGGAATTAGAACGATTGATGGAGGCACAGCATGATATTGGATTTAATCAGGATAATTTTAATATACCGTTATGGCGTGTGGTATTTGTGTTGAATAAAGCACGGAGGAACGAGCTTGGTGTATTTTTTGTATATCATCATGGAATTGGTGATGGACAAAGTTCTTTTGCTTTCCATAACTTCTTTTACAAGTTTTTGAACGAAAATTTAGATTTATTTGATCCGAATAGATCGAAACTTGATGTTACTGCACTCAGCAAAGAAGCAAAAGTTGATGTGCCGCTAAGGCCACATCCACAACCAATCAACGAAAGAATCTCACTTCGTCCTCCTCTTCATAAAATAGTTCCTCTTATTGCACCACATATTATTATCCCTTCTTTCATTCGAACATTCACAGAAAATGAATACTGGGCCGGAGACATTCCTTCAAAATCTCTGGATACTTATCACACAAAAGTAAAAATATTCACGCTGACAAAAGATGAACTTCAAAAAGTATACGGATACGCTAAAAACGAAGATAGCACAATTCACGCCGCGTTATACGCGGCAGTACTATTTTCAGCTGCAAAATATCTTGTGACGGTAACGGTAACCAGTAACTCGAAATTCAAGAAAAAATCAACTTTATCTCTTAAAATACCAACACCGATTTCTCTTCGTCCGACCGTCAATCCACCAATCTCCCAAAATGAAATTGGTGTATACTTGACAGAGTTCACTTCCAATTCACTAGTGAGAATAATTCATCAAACAGAGTTTTGGAAATTAGCAAGAGAATGGCGAAGAGATTTTTTAAAAAATAAACCTGAGGCTATGCATAAAATCTGGCTGCTGAGATTTGTGGGAGAGCGTTACGAAGAGTGGATAAAATTGCTGAAAGGATGGCGATTTGCAAAAGAGAATGGTGGAATGGGAAGAAATGCTTCCGGCGAAATATCTAATTTGGGAAGATGGATTGTTACTGATGAAAAAAGAGATAGTACTGATCCAAAAGTAAGTATGAAAGAAGAAAAATGGGCAATTATTGATATGACATTCTCACAGTGTGCATATGTAAGTCTTTTGTTTATTCTTTAATTTCGGGAGCAATACAGATTAGATAATTATGAAATATTAATAAATTTATTTATAGGTGGTTGGCTCAGCTTTCAACATTAATGTCGTAACACATAGCGACAATTTTCGAGGCACAGTGACATATCAAAAGGGCGCAATTTCCGACGATAAAATGGAGAAATTTGTTCGTGGATTGATCGACGCTTTGAAATGTGTAGCTGAAAAAGGAGATGTCAAATTTGGAGAACTTTAAATAAAGTTGTTTCTTATTGCAGAACTTTATTGTTTTTATTTTTAATAGAACTACTGGTCATATATCATTCGTTCAAATTGGCAATTTATCGTTATTCGAAGAACAGTTCGAATCTCGTTCAACCCGAATCTGATGTTTTTCCTTTTTAAAAAGTATTTTAGAAAGTAAATTAGAATTTAACATACGATTATGACAAACCCTCTATCGCTATGGTCACTTCAAATTCGGTGATTACATGTGTAAAAGAGTATTTTCTATTTAACTATTAACGTTAAAATATTACTCGATAGGATCTTTTAAATAAAGTTGGGGAATACAGTCGAACCTCTCTATTCGAACCTCTTTATAAAATCTGGATATAACGAACCTTAAATTTTTAAATATGATATTAGTTCGTTATAGAAAGAGTAGTGGGCTCTATAGAAAATAGTGATTTTATATAACGAACTTTTTTTTATTAACAGAACCATCAGTTCGTTATAGAGAGAGTTGACTGTATAACAAATAACTAAAATCAAATAACCTAGGACTTATTGAGACTGCCTAAACAAACTAATACCAGTATAACAAAAAAAAACATCAAACTCAAAATACAAAATCAAGGTATGGCTTATTTAAAGTAAAGATTTTCTACTAAGAATTATTTAGAGTGGAATTTTCTATTACTTGTATACAAGGTTTGAAATAATGATTCAGGCTAAAGTACTTTTCAAAGTCCTGAATATTTCAAATTTTGAATTAAAATATAAATCCTAAATGTTCTAAATTCTAATTTAAAAATTATTTGATGTTAAATACTTTAGTCTGAATTGCTAGTATGAAGTTAATCAAATAAGAAGGTTTGTTTACAATCATAACCAAAAGTATCTGATTTCTCTAACTTTTTGTATATCACATATAATATACCAAATTTTTCTGAGCACAAAAAATATTACAAATATTAATTATTGATACTTTTTATAGATTGGTAGAGCTTTTATATTAAATATGATGTATTTATAAATTTTCATGTCACAAATATATCAATTATTTTATAATAAATATTTCAATATTTAATAATCTAATTCTTGATATCTAGTAATTTGATTTAAACAAAAATATTACTATTTGATTTATCTTAACTAAACAAATCAAATAATAATATATTTTTGTTAAATTGAATTACTAAATATTAAAATATTAAAATATTGAATTTTAAAGTAACAGATTCATTTTTTTGATATTAATTAACCAATTTAGAATATAATATTTTAATTTTTAGTAATTTAATTCAAATAAAAATAATATTATTGTCTAATCAAAATTAATTAATAATATTATTTTGATTCAAATTAAATTATTAAAAATCAAAATTTATATTCTAAATTGATCAATTTATTTTTTACAAATATTACTAATAAAAACTAATTATTAAATATGAATTAGTTACTTTAGAATATAATTTATCAATATTTAATAATTTAATTTGAATAAAAATATTATTATTTAATTTATTAAAATTAAATAAATTAAATAATAATATTTTTATTCAATTTAATTGTTAGATATTAAGATATTATATTCTAAAATAATTAATTTATTATATTTGGAGCATAAAAGTTTATAAATATATAATATTCAATATAAAAGCTCAATTAATTTATAAAAAGTATTAATAATCAATATTTATAATATTTTTTGTGCTCAAAAAATTTGATATATTATATATAATTTATGAAAAGTTAGAAATATTAGATATTTTATATTACAAGTTATTATTTTTATTAATTAAAGCATGAATTTTTTATAAGAGCTTTTTTAATATAAATTTAGAGTTAATTGTATTAATATTATAAATAATAAATTAATATAATATTAAATCTATTTTAATTACAAAATAATATTTTAATATAAGCATTAACTTGATATTAAATTTGTTAAAGAAGTAAATATTATATATTAGATAAATATTAAATTTTATATAAATAAGTTTAATATTAAATCTATTTTAATTACAAAATAATATTTTAATAAATATTAGATTTGTTAAAGTAAATATTATATATTAAATAAATATTAAATTTGATATAAATAAGTTTTAATATTAAATTAAATAAATATAATTTAAAATTTATAATTTTTATTTATAGTATTACAGTAGTAACATAAAAATCGTTAATTTCAAAAATAATTAAAAAATACAAAATATTCAAAAATATTCATATAACA